GGACACAGTGAGCGCTGGGCTGCGCCCTCTGCGCTGCACGCCTGGCCTGGGCCTCCAGCTGCACCCGCCCGGCCTCAGGCACCTCGGCTTCCCGGCCTGAGTGCGTCCACGGGGGGCTGGCCAGCCGAGGCCTGGCGCCGGCCCTCTGCAGCAAGGTGGCATCTGGAGGCCCCTCCAGCTCCGAACACGGACTCCCGCTGGCGCTGGCAGCACGTCCTCAGCCACTAGACGCCCTGCCCCCTGACTCGCCACTGGCCCTCTGGGCCCCTGGCCGCGTGAGAACTGGCCTCCTGGGGAGCAGGCGTCTCCTGGGCACTGGCTTGGGGCAGCGGTGGGGACTGAGCTCTGCTGCTGGCAGCTGCAGGACATCCTCAGCCGGCTGGACACTTGTCCCCGGCAAGCTGTGGCCTCAAGGGCTCTGGCCTCTGCCTGCAGCCCCTCCTGCCCACACAGCGCTGAACCGCGCTGCAGCCAGCCGCCCGCTGTGGCGAGAACCTGGGCCCCACCACACATGTCTGGTGCACAGACGCTGCACAGGCTCCGTGGGGGGCTCCGGGCAGGGGCCGAGGCCGACACCTGTTTGGGGGCGGGGGGGTGCCGCCAGGAGACAGCTGGGCCGGGTGACCGGCCCCTGCTCCAGCCTGCACCCCGTGCCCCCGCCGCAGGTGCCCCCCGCCACTGCTCCCATCCACACCTGCCTCTCTGAGCACGAGTGGCTGCCTGCCGCCTCCCAGGGCCGCAGACGGCCAGGTCTGCTTCCCCCCACGAGGGCGACCTGCAGGCCAGCTCTGGGATGACCCGCGGCCCTTCTGAAGCCCGAGCATGCGAGCGCTGCGTGAACAGGGGCTGCTTGCAGGAAAGCCAAGCGGCCAGGCCGCACACACCCCCTTGGGGCCCCCGGCCCTTCAGCCTGCAGGCGCCATCCAGAGAGCGGGGCCTGCCCTGCCTCCCGCAGGCCACACTGCTGCTGGCCCGGGGCCTCTGCCCACAGCCTCCCGCGCTGGCCAGCAGGACACTGACATTGGAGGCTGGACGGCGCCGCCCTGGGTGGCCACACCCAGGTGCCTGTCCCCTGCCCCCGCCCATCTCCCCACCAAGCTGCGACACCGCCAGCTCATCCTGCAGACGGGGCCTCCAGTGCTGTGCGGTGGGGGGCGGTCTCGTCCCCCCCGTGTGTCCAGGTGTGTGCCTGCCCTTGGGGGTTCCTGAGACCACGTGCTGCCCCCTCCCCCTAAGGAGGTCCTGGAGGCCCCCAGCTTCTCCAGCTGGGGGGGCGCCTCACGGGGCACAGCCCCGCCCCCCCGACTGCTCTCTGGCAGCTGCGAGACCGCCCCCACCTGGCCCTGGGGCCCTGTGGTCCCTGCGCCCCGCAGGGTCCAGGCCACCAGGCCAGGCCAGCCTGCTGGGCCAGCAGGCACCCTTCCCGCTGGCTGCGGCGCCAAAGGCGCCCATGCTGCCGGTGCTGAACGGACAGCTCCTGCCGCACTGGCGCTGAAGAGGCTGGTGCTCCCTGGGGTGGCCCGACACCCTTGGGCCAGTGGCGGGCAAGAGGGTGGAGGCCTCACCCAGGTGTGCAATTCAACAAAGCGGGGCCACAGGGGCGACCCTGTGCTGTCAGGTCACTGCGTGGGCAGCCTTGTCCCTCCAAGTGGGCGAGGGAGCGGGTTGTGGGGGGCCAGAGGGTGGAGAGAGCACGTGCGTGGGACAATGGGTCAGTGGCCGCACGGCGGGGGCGGCGATGGACAGAGCCAGAGGGGGGTAGCAGCGGTGGGCAGAGTGGGGGGGAGTGGCGGTGGGCAGAGTGGGGGGGGAGCGGCGGTGGAGAGAGCAGGAGGAGGGGGGGGGGGGGACTAGCCGTGGACAGAGCCAGGCAGGTGCACCCTCAGAGCAGAGGAGAGGCTGAGGGGCGGGACCCCAGAGGCACGCTGGGGGGGAGGGGTCAGGCAGAGGCAGGTTCTCAGAGACAGGCAGGGGGAGCAAGCTCGACCACAGCAGGTTGGGGGCTGCTGCGGTGGGGCCGTGGGGGGGCCAGTGGGTGTGGGGGGCTGGGGCACCCTGCTCATGCGGGCCTCCCCACAGCCTACAAGGAGAAGATGAAGGAGCTGTCCGTGCTGTCTCTCATCTGCTCCTGCTTCTACTCTCAGCCGCACCCCAACACCATCTACCAGTACGGGGGTGAGTGTGACCCAGCTGCCGTCCGTCCAGCTCCTGCGCCCCGGCTTGCCCGGCTAATGGAGAAGGGGCCTCTAGTGGGAAGGGTGCTGGCCGCGGGGCGACACCTGGGCCGCTCAGGAGCAGCTGCACCCCCAGCCTCAGCCCTTGCCCAGCCCCTTCTCCGTCCGCCCTGCAGACATGGAGGTGAAGCAGCTGGACAAGAGGGCCTCCGGCCAGAGCTTCGAGGTCATCCTCAAGTCCCCATCGGACCTGTCCCCGGAGAGCCCCGTGCTCCCCTCTCCCCCCAAGAGGAAGGACGCCTCCCTGGAGGAGCTGCAGAAGCGGCTGGAGGCGGCTGAGGAGCGCAGGAAGGTGAGGCCCTGCCTCGAGGCTTCCGCGGCCACGCACAGGACCCGGGCAGGCGCCCGCTTGGCTTCGCCCCTGGCCTCCCGGAGGCAGGACGCACACTGGAGCCAGCTGGGCGGGGACCAGGAGCCGCCGCTGGGGTGAAGGGGGCGGCCCTTGGCGGCGGGGGTCCGCGGCGGGGCGGTGCCAACCTCCCAGGGCCGGG